TACACACAGGGTTATATCAGCTACCCTCGCACGGAGACCACACATTACCCTGAAAACTTTGACCTGAAGGGCACCCTCAAACAGCAGGCCAACAGCTCCTTCTGGGGTGAAACGGTAAGCAATAGCCCTTTCCTCCCCCCGAAGTGATCACTTAAGATGCTCATTAATGAATTAATATGCTCTTTAATGATTAATATTTTATAGTGCTGTCAAACGATTAATCGCATCCAAAATAAAAGTTTTTGTTTACATATGTCTGTGTACTATGTCTATTTATTATGTATATATAAATACACAAATGCATGAATATATTTAAGAAAAATATGTTATGTTTATATATTAAATATATTTATAATATAAATTACACATGTAAATACATGTACATATTGTCAAAATATATGCTGTATGTGTGTATTTATTTATACATAATAAATATACACAGTACACACATACAGTATCATGTAAACAAATTTTTTTATTTTGGATGCGATTAATCGTTTGACAGCTCTAATATTTTATAATATATTAAATCGAAAGATTTGGTGTTGGTGTTGTTGTATTTTTGTAGGAAGTTTAATTGCATTATTTAGTTTTTTATTTTGTATAATATTTAGTATTATAATATACATAGCCTATATATTTAATCCTGATATGCCACAAAAATAATGTATAGTGATTCATATTGTGTGTGTTTGTGTATACAGGTAAAAGCCCTGCTCTCTGAGGGCATTAACAGGCCAAAAAAGGGAGTGGACGTAGGAGACCATCCACCAATCACACCCATGAGAGCCGCCTCTGAGAACGAGCTGGGTATTTTCACATTTACATGTTTAATATTGAAATGTCTAGTGCAGAGATATTTTAAAAAACACTCCAAATCGGACATTTCAGGACAATATACTTGATCCTGTTAATAATTTTAAATGTGAGCTTAAAGGGATAGTTCATCCAAAAATTAAAATTCTGTCATTAATTACTGTCCCTCATGTCGTTCCAAACCTGTAAGACCTCCGTTTTAAGATGAAGATATTTTTGATGCATTCCCGAGAGCTCTCTGACCCTCCCATAGACAGCAAGGGTCCTTACAAGATTAAGGTCCAGAAACGTAGCAAGGAGATAGTTAAAATAATAATCCATGTGACATCAGTGGTTCAACCGTAATTTTACGAAGCTACGAGAATACTTTTTTGTGCGCAAAGAAAACAAAAATAATGACTTTATTCAACAATTGGTCTCCTCCACGTCACCCTATAGCGCCATTTTGGAGAGTATCACATATGTAAACCGCGTATGCAACGTATGTACGTGGATACGCTGTTTACGTTGTTTATGCTTTGATCTGAATGTAAACAGCGTATTGCGTACATGCATTGCATACGTTGTTTTCATATGTGTTACTCTCCAAACTAGTGCTATATGGTGACGTGGAGGAGACGAATTGTTGAATAAAGTCATTATTTTTGTTTTCTTTGTGCACAAAAAAGTATTCTTGTAGCTTCGTAATATTACGGTTGAACCACTGATGTCACATGGATTATTTTAACGATCGCCTTGCTAGGTTTCTGGACCTTGATCGTGGTAATTACGTTGCTGTCTATGAGGGTCAGAGAGCTCTCGGAATGCATCACATGTGACGCAGCTGACACAGAACAGCATACGTTGTTTACATCCAGCTGATATTCTCCAAAATGGCGCTACCGGTTTTTAAAGTTTTTAAGGAACATTTAATTGCAGACCTTTTTTTTCTGAAAATTGTAAAAGTTATTATGTGGACTGCATTAACAAATGATTGTGCCACTAGGTACGGATGCCAGCATCCCTGTCCACATTAACAACATCTGCCAGAGGAACTATGTGACGGTTGAAAGTGGCCGCAAACTCAAACCCACCAACCTGGGGATTGTTCTGGTTCATGGTTACTATAAGATTGGTAAGGAAAAACATTTTAACCTCAGGTATTTAGCTGGTGTGTGCATGACTCATTTGTTAAACTTACATTTCAACATCTGTATGTGTGTGTTAGATGCAGATTTGGTGCTGCCCACAATCCGCAGCGCTGTGGAAAAACAGCTAAATCTGATCGCTTTAGGAAAGGCAAACTTCCACCAGGTCTTACAGCACACTCTGGACATCTTCAAGAGGAAGTTTCACTACTTTGTGGACTCCATTGCAGGTAATGTCCCACAATGAATCTATGCAAAGAATTAGTTTACTGCTGTATTTCTGTACCATATTAAAAATACATTTCAGAACGTTCTCAGAGAAACTCCATGTTTATATGATTGCTGCATAAAAGTCAGACTAAATCATGCCTGGTCAGACCCACCTCAGCCCAGAGTATCAAAGTATACAGTTGCAATTGCTGTGTAAATACATTGAACATATCAGTACATTTGGCATTAGAGATGTTGCTTTAACACCACTAATCACTTATCAATGTGTTTTACTTTGTTTTTGCTAATTATTGACTCTTAAATCATGCTCGGAATGTTTTTAACAGGAATGGATGAGCTGATGGAAGTGTCCTTTTCTCCCATCGCCGCTACTGGGAAACCTCTCTCGCGCTGTGGCAAATGCCATCGCTTCATGAAGTACATCCAGGTCTGTAACGACTCGTATTGACTTCTTACTTGTACTGCATTCTTGCTTTCTTTCTCTGGAAATGTTACTAGTAACATTTCACAATATGACTCTTTTTACTGTATTGTTGATCATATTATTGCAGCCTTGATGAATGTGTTCAAGACTAGGGTTGCAAAAAGGTGGAAAATTACCAGGAAATTTTGGAAACATTCCAGAAATGTAAGAAAATTTCCAGGATTTTTTGGAATCTTCTGGGGATTTTTGGAAAGTTTACGGAAATGTACCGGAACCTTTCCACCCCTTTGCAACTCTGTTTAGGACTCTGAAGGGTATAATGCTTAATAGTAGCCCAGGGAAAGTGGTAGTTAAGAGGTCAAAGCCCTTGGCTTGTAATAAGAAGGTCAAAGCCCTCTATGATGTCTCCAAATCAGGGGTTAATGGTAGGGTCAGGGCCATGGATCAAAGCCCCAGACATGGTGTTGCAATCATTTGACTTGAGTGCTGTGCAGAACTGAACTTTGGACTATTTTGAGACAAGCGTGTTTGGTTAAATATCTAACATTCCTCCATCTAATCATACTGTCATCAGTTCAAACTAAAGGTCATGTTGACAAAGAAAGCAGCAAAAAAAAAAAAAAAGTCCGTACATGCTATGATCTGTAGTTCAGGTCTGAGTTCAGTGTACTATGAAAACAGATTTTTGTTTTGGGGTTGGTAATTTAAAAAAAATAATGTTTTTTTTTTTTTTTGTGTAGAATGTGAAATATGATTACAATTTAAAATAACTTTTCTATTTTAAATTTTTTTTTAATGTAATTTTAAAAAAAGCTGAATTTTCAGCATCATTACTCCATGATCCTTCAGAAATCATTCTAAAATGCTGATTTGCTGCTCAAGAAACATTTAATAGTATCAATGTTGAAAACAGCTGTGCTGCTTAATATTTTTGTGGAAACTGTGATGCATTTGATTTTATTTCAGTATTTTCTTGATGAATAGAAAGTTCAAACGAACAGCATTTATATGAAACAGTAACATAATAAATGTCTTTACTGTCACTTTTGATCAATTTAATGTATCCTTTCTGAATAAAAGTATTAATTTCTTTAAAGCAATCTTACTGACCCTAAACTTTTGAACAGTACTGTGTATATAGTGCACAATGCTTTGCACATCAAAAGTACAGTTTTTAAACATCTGACTTCAAGTTGAGAGGAAATGATGCTGATTATTCACAGTGAGTAATGCAGCTAAAGTTTTTGATGACTCATTTGATATGGATGGGGATCCCAGGATGGGGATCTACATATGCACACTAACTTTGATCCTGATTACCATCCGAATGGTCATGTTGCTGTAAATCACGTGGTTTATTTATTTTCTGCTCTGATGCACTTTGGGCTTTCAGCCCAGCCTCTCATCTCTCTAGCACCTGAAAATGACCTTCAACAAGGAAGCATTTTACCTAAATGTTGTCCTGTGTCCATCTGAATGTGGAATAACTCACACATTATTCATCAGTGTCCCTCATCATTCAAATTAGACTCTAGGCTGTTGGTCTAATATCCCTGTTAAATGGGCTTCAATGTCCACCGCTTGCGTAAGGGAGATTAATGCTGATTTTCTCAAGGGAAGTCCAGCCACGGTATAGAGGTCTTTACTGTTACTACTTCCTTTTGGATGGTAAAATATGTGGAAAATGAAGTTATAAACTGAAATATATTAGTAATTCAATAAATGCTGGTAGTTGACTTGTGTTTTCCACCATCAATATTTTTTTCAATTATGAATTTTAACATGGAGAAGCGTTATTTACTAAAAATTCTGCTCAAATGCAACATCTAAAAAAGCTCTAAAATAATAATAATAATAATTATTATTATTATTAAAATATATTTTCATAAGTATTAAATATTATGTTCCAATAAATGCACATAAAACGAATTCTACAACTGCAAAAAGATGATTCAGATGATACCCAGATTGCTTTTTACAGCTTTATCATGATGTAGTGTCAAATATAAAGTAACTGTCTTTTTTAATCACCCCCAGGCCAAACCCAGTCGCCTGCACTGCTCTCACTGTGACGAGACCTACAGTTTGCCTCAGAATGGAGCCATTAAGCTGTACAAGGAGCTCAAGTGTCCTCTGGATGAGTTTGAGCTGGTGCTGTGGACCTCGGGGTCCCGTGGCAAAAGCTACCCTGTGTGTCCATACTGCTTCAGCAACCCTCCTTTCAGAGACATGAAGAAAGGTAGGAGAGACTAAAAAGCTTTGATTCTCAAATCAACTTGTTTTAAAGTGATTCTTCAATTCTTCTTTCAAACTGTGTTTTATGTACTTTACATTTTTTCCCCACATATCCAGTAATGAGAGATTTGATTATGCCCTTGATCAACCTTTTGGATTTATTTTATAGGCCTATCATACCATAAGCGATATCACACGAGCAGCAGGCTATCAAACGAGTGCTCATTTTGTCCCGAATATCACGAGTTTAAGTTAAATGTGATTTTATACAACAATATTATGTGTTTTTGCTCAACTTTGCAGAGAACATTACCTTTAAAGGTCCCCTGAAATGCTTAGAAACACGCAGCGTTACTCTGTGTTGACGTCATTTTAACTGAAACAGGAAGACAGGGCGGGACATATCAAGCAGCCCCACCCCTTTTTAAAAGAGCCAATAGCGTAAATATATAAAATACAAAATATACCTCGAAAAATGTAAGCTTTTTATCAATTTATCATAGAGCTGCAGTTAAAAAGTCTGGGTGGGGGATTCTGACATTCTGGCAAATGAAACGGAGGAAAAAATGCTTAAAAACATGAAAAGAAATGTAAAAGTTCTCGTACTTGAAGAATATCCCTTATTATGTCATTTCTCTTTCTATTTCGGTCAGGGATGGGGTGTAATGAGTGCACCCACCCTTCCTGTCAGCACTCCCTCAACTCTCTTGGCATCGGCCAGTGCGTTGAATGTGAGACGGGCGTCCTGGTCTTCGATCCCACCTCGGGTCCAAAGTGGCGCATGGCTTGCAACAAATGCAACGTTGTGGTGCATTTCTTCGAGCACGCCCATAAAGTGCAGGTGTCCCAGGACAGCTGTGATTCCTGCGAAGCCTCCCTGGTCATAGTGGACTTCAACAAGACGCGCTCGCCGTTGCCTGATGGTGAAACGCAGCACACTGGCTGTGTGTTTTGCGACCCTGTGTTCCAGGATCTGGTGGAGCTGAAACATGCGACCATGCGGCATCCCATGCACCGGGCCGGAGGAGCCCGCAGAGGGAGAGGGAGGGGAAGAGGGAGGAGGCCTGTGGGGAGAGGGAATCCTAAAAAGCCTAAAGATAAAATGGCAGCCCTGGCAGCATATTTTGTTTAGAATTTGTCTTGCAGCGGAAAATCAAAACCAGCTTAATAAGTGCAAAGTACTCAAAAGTTGAAAATGGCAATAAACTTTTAGTTTAATAGAGTCTTTGCTGTATCTTGTCTGTTTTTAGTTTTTTTTTTTTTTAAGTTTATGCCTATATATTCAATGCACCATTTGAAAAAAACAAAATGTGTTTAGTGTTTTTGAAAGATGTCTCTTATGCTCAGCAAGGCTGCATTTATTCGATTAAAAATACAGGAAAAAAACAGTAATATTGTGAAATATTATTATAATTTAAAAGAACTGTTTTCTATTTGAATAATTTCATTTAAGACTGGAGTAATGGCTGCTACTAAATTACATTTTAAAATATATTCAAATAGAAAAATCGCACATCTATATGAAACAATATACTAAATATATATAAATAAATTGGTAAAATGATATATAAATTTAGTAACAAAAAATGAAAATAAACAAACAGGCTATGGTATTAATATGTTTTTGGGACATGGTACCACAACAAGAGCATGTTTCAAATTTTCAGTTGCGCATTTTACCAAGTTGCTCTATATTTTAGATTTACATTTCTGTATTTGCTTAATTTGTATATTTGCTGCATTTACTTATGATTATATGGATTTTTTACAGAAATGCATATAATCATAAGAAACAATATTAAGAACAATGTTCATTCGGAGTGTATATAATCAACATTTTACGATGTTTAACTGATCACATTATGCAAACAATATTAAGAAAATTAAAAAATTACATAAAAATAAAAAGTTTCAGTTTAATAAGAAAGAAAGAAAAAAAAGAAAAGGCGCCACTTAAGAATAATATGTTTGAATAACGTTTTTGATGTTGTCCATCTAAAGGACCTTTGCATATATAATGGGGAAAAAAAGAATGAAAAATGTTTCCTTGTCACTATTACAAAATCGCCGCCTCGGTTATTTCCACTTATGATTATATGGATTTTTTACAGAAATGCATATAATCATAAGAAACAATATTAAGAACAATGTTCATTCGGAGTATATAATCAACATTTTACGATGTTTAACTGATCACATTATGCAAACAATATTAAGAAAATTAAAAAATTACATAAAAATAAAAAGTTTCAGTTTAATAAGAAAGAAAGAAAAAAAAGAAAAGGCGCCACTTAAGAATAATATGTTTGAATAACGTTTTTGATGTTGTCCATCTAAAGGACCTTTGCATATATAATGGGGAAAAAAAGAATGAAAAATGTTTCCTTGTCACTATTACAAAATCGCCGCCTCGGTTATTTCCATATTAAGAAGCAGAACCTTGGCTTATGAATATTAATTACCTTACGTGACTGACTGGGCGCTCGTTGGTTAGCACGTTAAAAGGAATGTATTAATATTCATAAGATCGGTCTGTCACCGCCCACACAGCCAAAACGATCTGACAACCAAACGGATTGTCTTCATCCCGTTCTGACAAATCTATTCCGCGCATCACATGTTCATCCTCATCGCTTGTATTTCGCTAAGTTTGTACTTCCTGTCTGTCACGGCGACTTCCGCAGATGGTTTGGCTTTTGTTGTGTAGTGACTGAAAGGGCGTGCGTTCATGCACGAGCACTTCAAACCCAACTCGTCAGGAAAAAAGGGAGTGTCGGCGCATAAAGCAACGCCAACCATCCACCAAAGGTATATACTGCACGTTTACGCACGACTATGTTCTCTTTTATGTTGTTAATTAAACTAATCAGTTGCTTGTAGTTCAAGGCCCGGCTGTGCTGCTTTCAAATGGCGACAGTGTGTGCAATTTCTCGTAAGGTGTCATGCAGAAGTTACACCATGAATCCTTGTAGTCCTGCATCAAACCAAAGTTTCTTTTATGCAATAGACTGCGGTCAGACAGAAGTTCAGTGTTGCGAAATTTGCGAAGACGTCTGTAGGTTTAGTGTACTATGTATACTAGATACATTCTGTATTTGTAGTTTGCCATCTGAAAATCGGAAGAGCATATGACTTGTCACATTTTTACAGATAAAATGTGGTATCACAACACATACGCTTACTTTCGTTACATTTAAATAATCATAAAGCGTAAACTTAAAAAAAACAAAAAACCTCTCCTTGTCTTTTGTAGTCCGGACAAACAGGTAGCCCCGCCCCAAGCGCAGGCCATTGGTTGATGTTGACAGCGGGCCGCCTCCGAGTGTTCTGATTGGCCAACAATTTAACATTCTATTTTGCATGGATTGCATTATTTTATCAACCTAAACACAAAGCCTAGAAAAGTTTCTATATTAATAATTTATTATGTCTAAATATTATATATTCTACTCTGTTCTGTACTGTTACTTTAGCAACATATTTGCTTTAAAATGATGAGGAAAATTACGTTTACAACACTGACAGGTTCTGGTGAAGATGGTTGTGTTTATTATTTAATTTATTTATTCGTTTATTTTTTTTGTGTAGATTCATACCTGAAGTTTGCATCAAAGGTTGCTTTGGACAAAAGGTTGCAAATCCACACTCGGAATGAGTTGCACGGAGCAAGACGACGCTGGGAAGTTTCTGGAGAGGTTTCTGGAGGAGTTTCTAAACCCGCTTGGCACGGAGGATCCGCTTCCCGTCACTCCACTTAGCCGCAAAGTCACTATGCAGGAGGTGAAGGGAGAGAGTCTGGATCTGGGCCTGCGACTGCTCTCAGCCAGGTTTGTTATGTTCATATCATGTAGGTCAGGGGTTTTCAATCGCTCCGGTGCCACGGACCCACATATATGATCATCTTATCGAAAGGGATAATTTATTATCATTCTATAATTTAAAAGACAGCTATGTGCTTTAAAGGGGTCGTAGGATGCTACATGCACTTTTACAAGTAGTTTGAACTGAAATGTGTGTTGGCAGTGTCTTTAATATATAAAGACGAAATTTATATTGATAAAAAATTACATTATAAATGTGTATAAAATAATATTTGGAGAGAAATTCTATTCACTACTGTACTGTTATGTATTATTTATTAAAATACTATTATTGGTATTATTATATATTAATATATTGTTATTTTAACCATTTTTATTTTAATTATTTAAAAAATATTTTATGTATTTAGTTAGATCTTTTTTATTACTTATTTATTATTTGTGACCCTGGACCACAAAACCAGTCATAAGGGTCAATTTATCGAAATTGAGATTTATACATCGTCTGAAAGCTGAATAAATAAGCTTCCCATTGATGTATGGTTTGTTAGGACAATATTTGGCCAATATACAACTATGTGAAAATCTGGAATCTGAGGATGCAAAAAAAACAAAATATTGAGAAAATCGCTTTTAAAGTGGTCCAAATGAAGTTCTTAGCAATGCATATTACTAATAAAAAATTAAGTTTTAATATATTTACAGTAGGACATTTACAAAATATCTTCATGGAACATGATCTTTACTTAATATCCTAATGATTTTTGGCATAAAAGAAAAATCTGTAATTTTGACCCATACAATGTATTGTTGGCTATTGCTACAAATATCCCCCAGCAACTTAAGACTGCTTTTGTGCTCCAGGGTCACATTTTTCCTTTTTTTTTTTTTTTACAAATTTTTTTCTAATCTTTTCAACAGACCCTCTAACACTCTCTTCCGGGCCTCTGGGGGTTCTTTTATTATTTTTCTTAAATTATTTTATTTATTTGAATCATTATTTAATTATTTTAATAATTTATTGATTTATTTTCTTGGGTCTTATGTTTTATTGTTTATTTATTTTAATATATAATATGTTTTTCTCTAAACTTTTCCACGGATACCCCACCACTCACTCCCTTGTAAGTTCTTGGAGGTTTTTTTATTTACATTTTTATTTATTTCTTTATTGTAATAATATTTTTTTAATATTTATTTTTTTATTATTTTAATCAATTAATTTATTGAGTTAGTTAGGTCTTATGTTTTATTATTTATTCAATTTTGAGTTTTGTTACACTATTTTTGCCCCTGGGGGTTCCCTGGTTGCCAGTTTGAAAACCCCTGATCAATATTTTCGTTGCAACCAGAGGAGGCGTGTTCTCTCATTCCTGTCATTCCTGTCTCTCTCTCCCATTTGCTTTCTCTCGCTCTCTGTCTGGCATGATCTGTTTTCCTGACAATATTTGCACCAGGTCAGCACGTTTCACTATGCATGAGCTGATTAAGAGATTTTCTGCTTTTTCCCAGTGTACTATCAGTGGCAATCCAAGCATTAAGTGAAAGCAATTGTGCAGAAGTTTTAAAGTTTCAATTTACAATGGAGTTTTTGTTTGTTCTCTTTCGGTATCCTTTTCTCTCTCTCTCTCCCCTGACGCATTTCTCGGGGCAGACTTCCTGTCTAGAATCACTATTGTTATACCCACTTCCTGACATTTAGACTTCATTTCCTCTTTGTTGGAAGTCTGCACAGTGCAGATTTGTCTGGTTTAACCCTTTTCGTGTCTTGATATAGGTCAGATGTGCATGTCGTTGCCGCAGCTCTTGACAAGTAGGACAAAAGGGAGTCATTTCCGACATCTTGCTGTTATGTCATTAGATAAGATTTCACACAGCCAAATGCTTCTTTTAAATAGACGTGTTGTTATGAGTGAGTGGTCGGGCCATTTGCCACTTGTTGCTCCAGCAGGCAAAGTGCTAAATCTAATCTAAAAACAGAGCAAATCACTAGTGCAAGATGCACTTTTACTCCACGCTGTGTGAGAATCCACGAGTATAATCCTATCGGAGTAAATTAATTTAATGTCTAGTCAACACATTTTGTACACACTCTATCACGTTCAAAAGTTTTTGTTCGGCAAGTTTTTTTCATTTGTATGAATTAATACTTTTATTTAGCAAGGATGCATTAAATTGATCAAAAGTGACAGTAAATCATTTATAATATTACAAAAGAATTCTATTTCAAATAAGACATGTTTCTTGAGCGGCAAATCAGCATATTAGAATGATTTCTGAAGGATCATGTGACACTGAAGACTGGAGTAATGATGCTGAAAATTCAGCTGTGCATCACAGGAATAAATTACATTAAAAATGCATTCAATTAGAAAACAGTTATTTTAAATTGTAATAATATTTCACCATATTATTACTGTTGTACTGTACTGTACTGTGTGTTGTAATTTTTGATCAAATAAATACAGCCTTGGTGAGCATAAGAATTTTTTTCTTTCAAAAACATTACAAAATCTTACGACCCCACATTTTGGACGATAGTGAAAGTTCACTTGAGCGTGTGTGTTATCACACTGTTGATATATGTGAGATGTTTATTTATTTTAGAAATGCCCCATCCTGGCTGGGTGCAGCGATGTGCAACGCTGCTGTCACGGAATTGCTTAAAGATGACCTTTCACCTCACTACTGCCCCAAAGATCCTGAACAGCAACCAGAGGATGAACAGGAAGTTGTTTGTGAGTGATTCACTTGATTTGGTTCTTGCTCTTTTCTGTTTGGGAAATTTAGGGTTATTGTCACATTTAAATTGATCTCTTTTTAATACAAGTTAATAAGTTGGAAAAATAATAGTCAGATTATAAAGAGAACAGCAATACAATATTGAGAAACTGAGAAATATATATTTTATATATATATATGTATATATAAGAAGTGTAAAAATTTTTTTTAAAGGGATAGTTCACCCCTAAAATGAAAATATGATGTTTATCTGCTTACCCCCAGGGCATCCAAGATGTAGGTGACTTTGTTTCTTCAGTAGAACACATATGATGATTTTTAACTTTAACCGTTGCAGTCTATCAGTCGTATAATGCATGGCAATGGTAACAAAATCTATGAGAGTAAAAAAAATATGCAGACAAATCCAAATTAAACCCTGCGGCTCGTGACGACACATTGATGTCCTAAGACACGAAACGATCGGTTTGTGCCAGAAACCGAACAGTATTTATATCATTTTTTACCTCTAATACACCACTATGTCCAACTGTCTTTGGGTGCGCGCACGGCATCCGGTGCGTGCAGAGGCCTTGCATTATTTTTCCATCTTTTTTTCTCTTGTGGTCTTGACATAAAGTTATTGTTAGAAAATAATTTTAAAAATCCCCCCAGCATTGCTTTACTATATCTAAATAGGTGACTAATAGGCTGACAATACTCATCAAAGTTAATGAATAAATATAAACAATTTACAATGACAATTTAATGCTGAGTTGCATCGCTGCCCTCTAGTGTTCAAAGAAAAGTGCTACATGAAGATTTGACAGATTTTACATTGTTTGACAACTTATCTCTCCTAGGAAAAAGTATCAGTTCATGCTTGTTTTATTGATTGCTTACATGATTTCAGTCTATATGTGTGATTCTGATGAACCTCTGTTTAAACACTAGCATCATAATGAGTGTGTGTGTGTGTGTCTGTGTGACTCTGCAGTGTTGCAGTCTGAGCCATTGCAGCGCCTCTTTATTAATAAATTGAGAGAGGTGTGTTTGGCCTGGCAGAAACAGCTGCCCAGTCCCGGGTCGTCCTCATCACAGACACACAGCTGCTCCGTTCACGCCATTCGAAACACTCGCAGGAAGATGGAAGACCGTCACATCATCCTGAGAGAGTTTAACCAGCTTCTGGGACTGCAGGTAAGGCCGCCACAGCTTGCATTGTAGTAGGGATGCATAGGTAGATATTTAACCAACCCCATACCCGAATATGCATATTTCCCTGTTATATAATATGCAAAACGTTGTATGTTCAATTCAATGGTCAGTTTTTATTTGATTGTCTTTATTGACTTTTCTGCATGGACTTTTTAGAAAAATTGGCTCTGATTTCTGTTTGTTTTCCACAGGATGGTGTAGATCGAGAGTATTACGCTGTGTTTGATGGACATGGAGGGGTGGACGCTGCCACATATGTTGCCACTCACCTGCATATCATACTGAGCCAACAGGAGGCACTAAAAAGCGATGCCGCCACAGCCTTCAAAAGCACCTTCACACAAACAGATGACATGTTCAAAATCAAAGCTAAGAGAGAGGTAAGAACAACCAATGAAAGTCTGAGACCACTAGTAAAAATGCTTGTATTTTTTATTTTTATTTAAAACTTTTTTTTTGTTACAAACTATACCATCAGCACATCAGTTTGAATCCTGAATTAATTGTAAAAAAGCTTAGAAGGCATTAACATGCTCAATAGCACAGATTTGCTGAAATATATCTTAGATATTTTTAAGAATTTATTTTTAAATCCTATAACATTTTATTCCTTGTTTCAAATAATTTACAAAGAAATAGCAGATTTTCAGTGTGATCTCAGATTTGTATGTGCAACACATAAATGAAACAACAAATCCACTTTTAAATATGCACTAGCAAAAATAAGCATCAAATACAGCAAGCTGACATTTATGATGGCTTCCTTCAAAGTGTACACTTGTTTTCCCTTAAACAGGTTTTTTGTTTTATTAGTGCATCTGCTTCTGAAACACTGTGCACAATCAGTTTCAGGAGATATATTATCTTTCCCCAAGCTGGTGCATTTTGTGGAAATTCACGATGGAAAGAAATCTTTTCACATCTCTCCCACTTCTTAAGATGCAACCGTTATGTGGATTGAATGTTCCTACGCTGTAATAAATACAGATAAATATAGTCCATGTTTCCCCCTGTGGTTGAATACATGGTAAGAAAACAGTGCAGGTTTGCTGCACATCTCTGTCTGCCTCCACAGGTACGGATATGAGTAAGCACTTTCTGTTTCACTGGCACGGTCAGTGCACGTAAACAAGAATTCATTTTACTGACAATAATTGACATGCACCTGAGAGTTTGTATGGACCAGTTGATGCCACTCAATAAAACAACTAATGATTTTTTAAATAGATTTTTTATTAAATTATACTGAATTCAGTTAGTTGAATGAAGTGTCGTTATCTAGTAAAATGAAATGGGGCAGTATTTTAAATATAAATGGGTAAATACATTTTTAAACAAATAAGATTTTTTTTTGCATTGTGAAATTATGGACATAACAGATAACAGTTAAGCACCCCTTATCGAAATATTTATTAAAATGTGAATTATTTATTATTTTACTATTTTGTAATATACATTTTTTTTTTAATTCTGTTAAAATTATTTGATTAAAATCTATTATATTTGTATTAAATTCATCATTTTGATTGGTACCATTAATTTTAAACATAATAGCACAATAAAAAATGTAATTATTTGACGTTATGTATTTGACATGATTATTTGATGAATTAAGATTTAAACTTTAATGGAAATATATTATTTAATTATATTTTAATTGAGATATATTATGTAATTTATATAGTGCAGTTAATCTCAACATAATAGTATAAAAGTTCTTAAATATTTAAGTATAAATTTGTAAATGTATTTTTTAACTCAACAGTATGTATTAATTTATTTTTGCGTTTTGAAAATATTTACATGGAAATTAAGCACTCGTTGCAAAAATATATTGATAGAATTTGAATTTATTATTATTATTTATGTTTATAATATAAAAATGATACAATTCTTTATTAAATTCATTATTTAATTTAGTGCAGTTAATTTTGAAAGTAATAGGACAATAAAATTCAAATTGTGATTTGAATAATTTGACTGATTGTAATTAGATTTAAATTAATCAACTGACAGCCCTAGTTTTTGTAAATGGTGGTAGTATTGGTTTCACTGACTTTAGTTCATGCTGATTTAAAAATACAACAGTTAAAGTATAACAATTACTGTATTACAGTAATTAGAATCATAATTATTAAACAAATAATGTGACCACTGAATGGCAAACTAAACGTTCATTTGTGTTGGTCTTGTTTAGCGTCTGCGCAGCGGCAGCACTGGTGTGGCGGCCTTACTGACCTCTGATCGCCTGACCGTCTCCTGGCTGGGCGACTCTCAAGCTGTGCTGGTTCGACAGGGAGAACCAGTGACCCTGATGGACCCACACAAACCTGAGAGAGAGGTATGACACACTACAAGTCACTGCTGACCACAAGAGCGTATCAGATGCTCGTCTGTTCTCTGTGAGCAGCTGAAATGTGAGACAGAGGAAGCGACTGCAGACCACATGCTGAATCAATATTAGCAGTGTTGCTGCATACTTACTACAGCCACTGAATGCCAAAAGCATCAGAACGGTCCTTAGAGAGGCACCGTCTGACTTAAGATCAGCGTTTCTGCACATGATTCGCGAAATAAATACTTAAGTGATAGAGTAATAATGATGCAATGCATGCAAACAATCTGAACGTCTATAGAGGTGTATTATTCTTTGAATTTAGCTAAATATAGGGGTTTGCTGTTGTGAAAGCTCCAGGCTGTATCTTAAATGTCTGTGCTTGTGTTTCTGTGCAGGATGAGAAGAAAAGAATCGAGGATCTGGGTGGATGCATCGCTTTCATGGGTTGTTGGCGGGTAAATGGGACCTACGCCGTTTCCAGAGCAATAGGTGAATGTCTTGCAACCAAATCAAAAAACAACATTCTTGAGTATTTACAAGTGTGGGTGGGTGATATACTGAATATTCACAAGATATTTGAATATTCAGCAATGTGAATATTTCACTGAATTTAACGGTGCTGTATGTAGGATTGACACCGAGTGGTTGAACTAGGTATTGCAGTCCAAATTCTAAATATTGGAGAGGGTTTTTTTCACCCGACCCCTCCTCCTCAGACTTGACGCATACGCAGGTTGCCAGATTGATGACACCAACAGGAACGAGCGCACTTGACGATGAATGAAATGAAATACGCTGTGTTTTCCGCCAACTGGCAACCCGGGGTGCCGAAATACAATTGGGTAAACTGGCAGTGGGCGGGTTTCACAAACCAAAACAGTGACCGACATTCCGGCCCGGAACGCACATTTTCAAAGGAGAATAACTGACTGTAGCATTGTTTTTCAAATAAACAAGTATGTTAACTTAGCATGTTTTTTTTAAATATCTGCTAACATATTATGGTATTTTTATGCTTTAGTACACACCTTTATTGTGCTTTTTATGTGTTAACTGATATAAAGTTAATAGCAAATATTTAGTCAGTTTAATTTATGTTCATGAATCAGTTCAGAAACTCCGATTCAACAATTCATTGGCATCATTGCTCAAAAATGTTCATGGAAGCTTACTTGCTTGTGTTAATAAAATATATGTAGGTATATATTGCTAATTATTATGATGCTAAATTGGTGGAAATGACATAAAACATAATTGTTTATGTAGTGAGAAATATGTCCTGATTTATTTTTAATTAGATGCATATATTTCTACATATATTTAACATTTTGAATCTATAAAAAAAACAAAAAAACAAGTCATTCAGGGCAAATCGATAAATATCAGGATATATAGAGAAAATCTGATATTTTATATCGTATTGTAAAATGTATTGATTTAGTGCTTAAGAAGCATAATAATAATAATAATAACGTTGAAAACGGTTGTGCTGCTTAATATTTTTTTGTGGAAACCATAACTTATTTTTTCAGGATGTTTCATGTGTAGAAAAGTGGAATAAAGATTTTGAAAAATATATTTTTTTTAACAGTAGAAACGTCTTTACTCTCAGTTTTGATCAATTTAATTAATCATTGCTGAATAAAAGTATTAATTATTAATTACATTAAATGAAAAGTATGAATTTAGTGGGTAATACAGTTTTCTCTCTCTCTCTCTCTCTCTCTCTCTCTCTCTCTCTATATATATATATATAGAAAAATAAATAAATAAATAATAAAGATAGATAGGTAGACTAAAATTAGAATTTTTTCAGAGTGCAAGGTAGTAAAATACATTTGATATAATTTCTTTGTCTAACCCTCAATGTATAAATAAATAAATAATAAAGATAGATAGGTAGACTAAAATTAGAATTTTTTCAGAGTGCAAGGTAGTAAAATACATTTGATATAATTTCTTTGTCTAACCCTCAATAGGTGATTTTGATCAGAAGCCGTACATCTCTAACGAAGCTGATTGCTCCTCGATCCAGCTGAACGGGCATGAAGATTACATTCTGCTTGCTTGTGACGGCTTCTTTGACGTGGTTCGGCCTGGGGACGTCCCGGAGCTGGTCCTGGAGGCTCTGAGGGAGACCGGAGGCTCGGGGGACGATGTGGCCCAGGCTCTGGTGGCCCATGCTAAAGCTGCTGGATCCAGTGATAACATCACAGTTCTCTTGGTGTTCCTCAAGGATCCGCAGCAGCTTCTGACCTACGAGACGAGTTCCAGAGCAGAGCCTGAAGGAGCTACGGCTGCAGCCACAGGGATCTGAAAGGGGTTAACAGGAAGAAATTGTCCATGATAGAACCAAAATCATCTGGAATGATATTTTGAAAGAGTTGTTGCATTTGAAAAGAATATGTGATTGTTGAGGTCATCCGAAACGAGTCCAGTCATGCATTCAGACGAAAGCATCGAACGCAGGTGAAAGGCGTTTCCTCGTTTTATGTTTTTTTTTTTTTCCAAGAATGTCTGATCTCTGGTCATTTATTAACTCTCTTTGTTGCTACGTTTGAACTTGCCTTCATTTTTAAACGACATGTTTCTATCTTTTAACTATTTGCCTTGTTTTTACCAGCTTATATTTACATTAACTGCTGCTTAAAGAAATAGTTCACCTAAAAATAACAATTCTGTCATCAATTAGTCACCCTCATGTCATTCCAAACCTGTATTACTTTCTTTTTTTTTTTCCTTCTGTGGAACTTAAAAGAAGATATTTTGTTGGTAGAAGAGTGTACAATGTTTCCCATTGATGTCCATTGTATGGACAAAAAATGCAATGGAAGTCAATGGGAACCAAATCTGTTTAGTTAACAACATACTTCAAAATATCTTCTGTTGTGTTCAACAGAAAACAAGAAATGCATACAGGTTTGAAACAACATGAGGGTGAGGAATTAATGACAGGATGTACATTTTTGGATGGACTATCTCTTTAATATCTCATAAACAATGTCATACCTTACAGACATGCGTAAAGCAAATGCGATTTTTTTTCCGAGCGTATTTTGTTGGTTGCGCTCCCTATTTGATACGACTGTTACAGTGGAGAGAAAACCGATGTGAATAATCTTAACACATACAGTATTGCGTCGAATTTCGGACCACACCGACTTCGATAATGAAATAACCGACCATAAGGCCTTCAGCTCTGTCAGCAGATGTACTAATCCAGTGTTGTAGGTGGTTAGTATTTTTAAAACTGTTATTTATTTGACAAAAAAGTATTTATGGCTGTACTGTACTTTGTAAACGCGCTCTTTAATGTGCCAAAACTGTATTTACGAGTCTAACTTTGCCAAGATCGTCTCTCTGTTGCTGCAGCTTTTCACAAAGCAGTTTTTCGAAATGTACAGTAAACCTTTATTTATGCATATTTCATATTCGTTTTGTTACAGTGCCTTTTCCCCCTCCAAATATCAGTGTTAATACTGGCGTGTACGTGTTGGTGTTATATTATCATAGCCAGACTTTGCAAACCGCACGTCCTGCATGCTGCAAGTCGTCTCACGTTACGGCCGCTCAATATTTTGAAAGTGACGAGTAGCTGATATAGTAGCACAGTCACTATAATGTGATAAGGCCAAGAATATCGCCAACCTAATGGATACCGAATGAGGAAGGTGAAGATTTGGTGTTTTTATATGCGGAAAATGTCTCATTTGGTTCAGTCTAATGTATTCTGTATTTGAGTAAAAGAGTGCAAATGTCAGGATTTGTATCTTAGAATGTATATAATTGAGTATATTTTAAGTTTTCCACAAAATACAGTGGCATCTTAAAGTCTGAGGCTATTGAAAATCTGGGATTTAAATTCATTTGGAGATCATTTTTAATGTTTTTAAAACGAGTCTCTTATGCTCACCACAGCTGCATTTATTGGATCAAAATACAGTCAAAACTGTTATATTGTTAACTATTACAATCTGTTTTCTATTTTAATGTATTTTCAAATGTATTGTATTGCTGTGATCAAAGCTGAATTTTCAGCATCATTACTCCAGTTTTCAGTGTCACACGATCCTTCAGAAATCACTCGTAATGTGCTGATTTGCTGCTCAAGAAACATTTCTTATTATAATCCATGTTGAATTTTATAAAGACCCAAGTCTTTTCTGTCAGTCTTCAGAAATCATTATAATATGCTGATTTGGTGGTCATGAAAAATCAAACTTGAAAACATTGTAAAAGTCTTTACAGCCACTTTTAATCTAATGCATCACTGCTGAATACAAATATTAATTATGAAAAAAATTTTTTTATGAAATCTTACTGAGCCCAAATATATATATATTTATTTTATTTTTTGATGAGTATAAAACAAAGACACTTCATGATGTAGAAGCGTGTTCACTAGTGGTCTCAGGCTTTTGGATCTCACTGTATATAATAATAAACATGGTGTTATTTCCCCTAGATTGACAAATATTGCATATTGCTCATCCATTTTAGACATGGGATATTAATTCTGCATTACGTCATTTTTGTAATTGCCAATGACTCTAAAAGCCAAAAATTTGCACATCATCAGCGATGATCTCACATAATTCATTAGGAAATGGGATGTGCCAATGATGGGAAATTTGTGACATCACAGTTGTTAATTATAGTCTTTAAAAAATTTTTCAAGCGCAATGCCTTATTTTTTCTCATAATGTGAATGCTATCAATTACTCACCTTCATGTTACTCGAAACCAGTATGACTTTCTTCTGTGAAACACAAAAGAAGATCATTTGAAAAATGTTTTTTGGACCCCACTGACTTTTATAGTATGGACACAAAAAACAGCTAAAACATTCTTCAGAATATCTATCAGTAATTGATGACAGAATTTTCATTTCTGGGTGAACTATTCCTTTACGTTCACATTAGTGCCAAATGACATTGTTCATTCAGAATGTGTTTTGCTCTTGACTGTGTCTTTGTACTTAGTATTAAAAGTTGGATTTTCATAGGGTTCGAGCACTGAACTACTTCTGTGTTTTTGTCCAGTAGAAAGGAACGATCATTATCGTATGCATTACTAGATTTTATGCTGGTGTGCATTTTTATACACTTTTCGCCTGCAGTATTTTAATTTTTTCACAGGACATTTTGTAATTGTTGCTGTTTGTACTAAAAAGTGAACATAAATCATGGGAACACATGGGTTTAACAGCTCTCAATAGTTCATGATAAAGTGCCTTATCTTTATGTACTTTTTAGAATCATCTTTGTACAGTACAGGCAACTTAACTGATAAACCGAAGTGAGCTGACTCTTTTCAGACCTAATTTTGCATATCATTTACCTCTACTGCTGATCTTGTGTGCAAGTAAGGTTTTATACTGGATCAAATAATACAAATAATTCCACACCGAGTGTACAATACTACAGTGAATCTTCTACCTAAATGTTCTTGCATGTTGTAATGTTTGTCAACGTCTGATAAACAGCCGAATGCGATTGCTGTCCTGTGGTATGTTCCTGCAGTTTTTTAATGCAACTTTTTGTGGATTTATAACCAGTGACACAAGCATTGGGCTTAAATCTGATATAATGTGAATAAAGTACTTTTCACATCAGTTTGGTGTCTGGATTTGTTACTGCACTAATAGTTGCCACAGCTGACAGTGTTAGTTTAGCTGTCTCTAGTCACTTTAGTTTACCATGGTCTCCTTTTCACACTTACACTCTCCTATGAGAAGATTTGTCCGACTGATTATAATAGGTAGGCCAACATCTTTGTACTTTATTTACCCTTAAAGGGGTCATATGATGCTCTTTTAAAGATCATTATTTGGTGTAACAGAATATGTTGACATGCTTTAATGTTCAAAAAACACATTCTTTTTCAAATACTGTACATTATTGTAGGTCCTCTATGCCCCGCCTCTCTCAAACGCTTCGTTTTCTGCAAAGTCCCTCCTTCCGACAAGCGCAGTCTGTTCTGATTGGCCAGCTGACCCAGTGCATTGCTGTTCTGCTGTAAGTGATCTTAAAGATTCCTAAATGCATCTACTTCCGGAAGGCCAAATAAAGTGCTTTTGCTTTCGCCTAGAAACACAGCGTCTCCCTGACATGCTGCTTCAACACTAACTGCGGTTACTGAAACCACGCCTTCTTTCTTTGCGTGCACATTTGGGCGGCATTATGCAAATATTCCCACATAGTGAGGTAGACATGTGGGGGCGTGTTAGAACGAGCCGTTTTAGGGGGGCGTGGCAGAGTCTTAACTTTGATAAAGAATATCTCTTTGGTTTTGAGACTTTAGTCTTTGCAACTTCAGGGATCTTATCTATGCACAATCAGCTTGTAACACTCCAAAGAGAAAGGAAAACTTGAAATCGCATCATATGACCCCTTTAAATGGAATATGATAGTACCTTAATATAAAGGGTCATATTAGTACTTAATAGTACCTTAAGTGTACATATTACTACCTTTTGAAAGACCCAGTGACAGTTTTGTATCTTTTGTATGAGTGTAGCCATACTTGAATATTTTACTATGCAATCAAACCTTCAAATAAATGGCGAAGTACTAAAGCAGTTGACATGTTTGTTGGATACACGAGAAACATGCATTCAGTAGCCTGATGATGATGATGATGATGATGATGGTGGTGGTAAACAAACCACGTTTGCTGGTCCAGTTTTTAGAGGTTTCAGAGTTTTTTTTCCCCTTTTCCAGCAGGTTCATCAGGGAAACCATCATAAATAAAACAGCACATATTTCTAGGTTTCCTAACATTAATATTGGCGTTTTAAGAATATGCTGTAAATAAAAATAAACTAAAGAACCTGCTGATTCAGATTAACACCAGTTCTGCTACAATATAAAAATGATTTTTTTTTTTGAAGCTGTAAATAAATAAAAAGATTAATGGAGTGTCAATGTTACTTGCCGTTATTTGTGAAATGTACTAGCTTTTTCTGAGTGAAAATTGTTTGTATATCTTACACCATTTTTTCAGTTTATATTTAACATTTCGCACAAGAGCACAAATCAAATGATAAACCAGACGTGATTTTTATCCTGTCATTTTTTTATAATAGAGAACTAATTGTCTGTCACCCGTGGAGCTCATTTATAGGCCTTATTGTTTAAACTGATACAAATAGAAGAAACATGATACATCTGTTTATAATTTCCTAATAAGCAGATTCACAATATTATCTGCAACCATTGTACCTATGTATTGGACCTACCCATCAAAAATCCCGATTTATCAACAGGTTCTCCTCGCCTTAAAGCAGCTTTAAACCTCTGGAGAAATGAAGTGTAACTTCTATCTCTATGGTAACCACTCTCTGCCTGCCCACGTGATCTGCTCCGTTACTTCCTGCGGCAACGCTCTCGCGCTCTCTCGCTGCCGCTGCCGCCGCGCAGATTGCTATCACTATATATAAATATATGCCAGTCAACACAACACTTCAGCCGCTCCTTTCCTTTCACTCCGACGCGAAGACTTCGGTTTAGTTTAACCACGTCGCTTATCCTGCCTCCTGCGGAGTTTTCTTCAGCCTAAGAGCTTTTCCCGAGCTTCACAAGCTGCTTTGGGTAAGAAAAGCGCGTTTGTAGTGCGTGTAAAGGCAGCTCAGTTTCTCAGCAATGGCGACAGCTGCGGTATCTGCCCCTGCTGGCGGCGGCTCGAACCCCGGATCCGGTGCCGAGATGGTCCGCGGTCAGGCTTTCGACGTCGGGCCGCGCTACAGCAACCTCTCGTACATCGGAGAAGGCGCATACGGCATGGTTTGGTAAGATGCTAAACACGTTACGCTTTGTTACAGTTGTTTTACAATTGTTTCCTTTTGTCGCTTGCTTGGATTTGTTCATTCAATCACAGCGCAGTGCACCAGACCCCCACATCTCTCGTTATCATCTCTCATGCTGCTTCTGCTTGAAACCAGTTGCATGCACTTTACTTTTTTTTAATTTTTATGCTGGACTTTTAAGCTTGGTTTTAGATGTGCATTAACAGAGACAAGTTCACACTGAGTCTAACATCTGTCAAAGCACTTCTAATCATGAGTTGGTGATTCATTATTTAATCATTTGCTTTGCAGATTTAATTTAGGCTATTTATTGTTCTGTCTCTCAAGAATATTTTGTTGCATTAGCTTTTTATGTTGTATTAACTCTATGGCATTGCAATTAAATTCAGATCATCTAAATAGATTAAGTTGTATATATTACATAACAATGCTACTACTACTACTATAATGATTTTTAGATCATGTTATATTGATTTAATACAGATTTGCAGAAATTTTTCTTGATGCACTCGTGCATGATCTGTAGGGCAGTTCCAGTCTGTAAATCCCAAGATATCGGACTGTTTTAGCTAAGACCAGACATCAGGCATGGATCAAAACTTAATAGAGGTGTACATGTGAAATTTGCTCGGAGCTCTCCAGGACGGCGTGGGTGCGAGCTTCCCAAGGTTGTGCAAAACTAGTAGGAACAAGAGGCACTGTTGGATCTGCCCACGAAAAAACAGTTGAAATTGATAGTGCTCGAGTTGGACCTACAGCCCTAACTTTAAACGTTGGTTAGATATACTAAAGTGGATGAGCATCATTTTCCAAATATAAATGTTTCACTAGCTTCCCAAGACTTGGCAGATGTTCTCCAATTTGTAAATCAAATCTGTATACAGACAGATTTATACACTGGTTTTGAAGTTGTATAACAAAGGAGAAGTGTTGTGGTGAAGTTTCAAGCTAGCTTTGTTACAGTTGAGGGACTGCTGGCTCAAGTTTGCAGTCTGATGGCCCATCTGTTCTGGTGAGAGGAGTCCGTTGGCTAAACGAATGAGCTCATCGCTGGCAGGCCTAGTTTTGCTCCTCTCGCACGGATGAATGAATGGTTCACACCCACACCAACAGCTACAGAGTAGAACAAGCCACCCTGGGTTGACTGTCATATGGACATGTAGGCCTGTAACATGTTGTGCTGAACAGGCTGTAACAGTACTGAAGCCTTTGTGCAGCCTTGCTTTTGACTGACAACAGCCTTTGCAAAAGAGTTGGAGTAAAGAAGATTCTTGATTAATAATCATCAACAGAGCAGAATACCAATACACTGTTATACTGGAGACGAGCATGACAGTAGGCATCTTAAATGATGCACCCTTGTATTAGTTATATGGTGTGTTAGTTATATTCATTAGAGCCTGACCGATATATCGTTTAGCCGATATATCGGTATCGGCGACTATGCCACCAATATTTTTTTTTTTACAGAACATATAACACCGATGAAATGCTTTTGAATGATGTAATTACTTAGTTTGTCCAGCAGAGCGCCCTCTATTGTTTGCTACTGGCGACCCAGGTCAGTGTAGTGTAGAGATGCGTGGATGAGCTCAAACTTCACCCGAGTCCGTCAGTCCGCTGCTTCAAATTATCCGCCCACCACCCACCCGCACCTATATTTGATCGTCACATTACAATGATTCTAATTCTTAGTTTTGCATGATGATATGATGAATGGCTGGTTCATTTTTAACAGCAGATTCAGTGACGTTAGAGACTAGAGCTGATCTGTGCATCACGGCACGTGTCTGCGGCACATTAAAGCCTGTGTTACGGCCACCAGAGCTGATCGTGGCCACTCAGTAAATGCTGTTTATAGTGGCCGCGCCCCGGCCCAGAACTCATGCTTATCACATCGTTCACATCACATCGCGCGGCGCGACAAAATACAATAGAATTCTATTGTATTTTGTTGCGTTGCACCGCTTGCGTCCGGTGTAGAATAGAACCCATTATAATCAGTGATGTTGTCTACACAGGATGCAGTAAACTGATGCCTCGTTCTATTTATGACGTGCTGACACAAATTTCAAATGATTTTCAACGGTCGCTTTGTCGCATCCTGTTGCGGCGCATACACGGTGTCAGCATAGTTTGTCAGTATAGTCAGTAACGTAGCAGATTGAAAAGTTAGTATCTTTCTGCAGTCCAATAGACGCCAGTGCGGTGGTGGCTTGAGGCTGTTGAATGGTGATTTAACGCTACCTTGTCACCTACTTGGAGAGACTCAATGCTAAGTAAATAAACAATAATGTCCCCGTCTTTTACTCTCACTCTTATGAATTTATAAATTTTTATGATTGTTTGAAAATGTTTTATTGACAAATAATTAAATCAAAGATATTAAAACAAAATACTAATAAATAACCTTTATTCACATGGTATGTTTATTGTATCTCTCTTAGCACTTTGCTGTTGCTGTCATTTGTCTGCATAATATTACATAATATTTACATGACAATGTTTCTCAGTATTTGAGAACTATTTGCTTATGTGCAAATAAAATATAGCAGCAAGTCATTAGATTTAGAAGTTACATGGGTATTAAAAAGCAATTTTTGGCATCAAATTAATTTTGTTCATAGTTTTCATCCTGGTGCGGCATTAAATCACACGATCTGTCATTTGAGATGTTTAATGTGCACAAACTAGTTTTACTGACATCTATTTTGAAATATCCTTACAAAGATCTGCTGATGTCGTCGGCTACTCAAGTATCCTCTAATATGCTTTGAATCCCACTGAGAGTGAATTAAAGGAACTATTAGATAAAATTCAGATTCTCAGCGGTGATCCCATTTTTGGAGTATTATAGTGTAGAAAGATCCTAGAGGTGCTTCTGATATAAATGCTGCACTGCCGATTGAGAGTTCTGGATGTTCTAATGGATTTTGCATCCTGCATTACACCCCTCTGTCCATGAGGAAGCATTTCGGGTGGCCGTTATCCTGCCCCGTATTATGCAAAAGAAAGACACGCTGTTACCATTGGCAGTGGTTTTCGGAAACCAGTAATGCAAGTCACAAACAATGGGCCGTTTTATCACAATCAGATGCCGATTTCCTTGAATCCTAGAATACTTCTCTTGTACACACACGTTCACCGTTGCGAGAGCATCTACAGATATTCTAAACTGATGACGTCCATGATCCAGGATCTGTTTTCTGTATTTGCAAACACAAAACCGTTTCAGCAACTGCGGGTCAGTTTCTTCCAATAGCATCCACGGGCCTGGCATTCGCTGAGAGGCCCCTGTGATGTAATAGCTGGAGAATGTGGAGTTTAGCTGTGTTACTGAGGAAGGTTGGGAACAGGCTGGGTTTCAGTTTTAAACCAGAGAGCGAGTGAATGAGCAAAGAGAGGGCAGGAAATGGAAGGGAAGGGGCGGGTAAGTGGATTTAGGAATGGAGAAAGTGAGGCGAAAGGCTGCAGTCCATTTTGCTGTTCTGCTGCACTGAAGCGGTGATTCCTGTAACCGTATGTGTGCGCATAAAAGCGAAGCATGAAACAAATAAGGCGTTATACGGAGCCACTAAAAGGTTAGCCGCTTGCTAGCGGTAGCCTGTTGCATTACAGTACATGAACGTTCACTTACCACATACACGGCGTATGGAGAAATGTCTGATAGGACGATGGTGAATCATTTGCAGATCCTGAGCACCAATGACAAACATCTAATCTTGTCAAATGTGTGATTAAGTACTGCCGCTCCATAGTATAGTGTCCTTGTGATCGCGAATCTCGAAAGTGAAAGTAAAATGAGAGCGCACAATCGAAAGCGGTTGCAATTTATATACAGTCGCCTATACTTAGTACTTACCCAACGATATAATTGCGAGAAAAAGTATTGAAATATTTTTTTTTATCCTCCCATCTCGTAGGCTATTTATTCCCTTTAGGGTTTCCGTAGCACACTTAATTTCCTTTCCGAACACGGAACTGGGATGCGGCGGATTGCGGGAGAGGGGGTGGTGGTGGGGGGAGGAATCATGGTATCAGCTTAACATTGTGATGGTCGATGGCATCGTCTATCGGCCCAACCCTAATGGCTTCCAATTACAAAATGAAATTGGCATAATTTTTGCATGCCTAAATAGTGTCCATGACAGAGCCCGTAGATGCTGTGGGGTTTATTATGGAATATTACATGCACGTCTCAAAGCATCACCAAATCATTTGATTGAGCTTGTGCTAGACCATATATTCCTAACTATTAGATATTTAAAGGCAATTATTGTTGGAAAAAAAAAAGGTAACGCTTAACAATAATGTCTCATTTGGTAACATTAGTTAATCCATTAGCTAACATGAACTAACAATGAGTATTTTTGACCGCATTTTATCAATGTGTTGGGGGGAAACAACAACTATATTTCATACGCAGTTATTGCAATTTGTTTTTGCCTTAGACTCAAGTTTAGGATTTGTTCAATGTCGGTTTTGACAAAAAAAAATTGCGTTCATCGCCAAGATCACTCTGAAAACCATATGAATTGTAAAAGTGCCCCATTCAGATGTAAAAATTATTTACTGATATCTTTTGTTGTATGCTCTTGTCTGCAGTTACCAGAGGAATGAAAAGTCACTGTAATTTTACAAACGAATGTCTTTTTTAATTGCTTTTCAGCTCACATGACCCTGATCAGATGCATTTATTAGTTGGTGTTCAGTTGATTCATAATATCTGTCAGCAGTTTGTATTTGTCGTGGACGTAACTTGATTTTATGCATCAATGATTCTGAAATCGGCAGAGATTGTGTGTGTTCCTTTGACTTTGACTACTATGTGTTGTTACTTGCTGGTTTAATTCTCTAAAGTTTCGCAACACTGATGTGGTGTGTTGCAGAAGTGGCTCTGTGGGCAGCGTCTCTAAACCACGAGGAGGAATGCTGCAGGACTGACCAGTTATATATATATATACCAGTTATGGTTCCTCTTA